TAGCTCATGAGAGGCGCAATTCTTTTGCGCTCCAGGGCACAATTATTTGTGCTCCAGGGCGCAATTACTTTTGCACTCTAGAGGTGCAATTATTTCAAGCTCCATGAGAGGCACAATTCTTTTGCACTCCATGGGGGGCGCAATTATTTTGCACTCCAGGGCGCAATTATTTGTGCTCCAGGGCGCAATTACTTTTGCGCTCTAGAGGTGCAATTATTTCAAGCTCCATGAGAGACGCAATTCTTTTGTGTTCTATGGGGGGTGCAATTCTTTTGCGCTCCAGGGTGCAATTATTTGTGCTCCAGGGCGCAATATGAGAGGCACAATTCTTTTGCACTCCAGGGCGCAATTATTTGTGCTCCAGGGCGCAATTACTTTTGTGCTCTAGAGGTGCAATTATTTCAAGCTCCATGAGAGACACAATTATTTTGCGCTCCATGGGGGGTGGAATTCTTTTGCGCTCCAGGGTGCAATTATTTGTGCTCCAGGGTGCAATTACTTCCGCTTTATGGGGGCGCAATTATTCTGAGCTCTACAGGGGGTGCAATTATCTTGAGCTCCACAAGGGGTGAAATTATCTGTATTCCATGGGGGGGACAATTATTTTGAGCTCCATAAGGGATGCAATTCTTTTGCACTCCACAGGGGGCGCAATTCTTTTGCACTCCACAGGGGGCACAATTCTTTCAAGTGCCACTGTATGTACCTTGTGCTTTGATAGGGTCACAAATAGTCTGTGTCCAGCATTGTTTCAATGTCAGAGTGCGCCCAATGTGAAATGGGCATGAAATGTCATGTCAGAGTGCACCCAATGTGAATGCACATCAAATGTGTGCACTAAGTATGTATCTGCACCTGTTATTTTTCAGTGTGTATTTCCACCCATTATTCTTTTGCATGAAATGTCGAGTGCGCCCAATGTGAATGTGCATGTGAGTGGGTGCCAAGTCACTATATTCCTATGGCATTTATTTTGCACAAAAAATATGTGCCCCCCCAATTGTAGTAAATGCGTGGACCAAAGTAGTTTGTAGCTGCCCTGCTGAATGACATCATGTGCCCCACTGAAACAATTTTTTTGCGCCAAATGATGTTTGGACTTTGTCAAAGTTTGGCCATGTCCGGTATATTTTCCAGCTCAGGGGGTGGGGGAAGAAGCTTGAATGTACAAATTTAGTATCATTAGAATTGTATAAATGTCCTCTATCGATCTATACCTATTAGAAAAGCACCAGTAGTTGTGTAAATATTTTATGGCAGCAAAAGACTTGAAAGATGTTGGAAGGGCCAAGCAAACAAAGGCAAACATTCCGATAATTCTACAAGTTCATGCTACAAAACATGGGGGAAGAAGCTTGGATGCTCAAACAAGCTGGAATCATAATTTAGACGCAATTCAGCATCTACTGATACCATTTTTTAGAGCAACGGTTGTCTGTGGCCAACCGAATTCAATACTCAGCTGTTTTGTCTAGGCTGTCACACTCTCACAAGTGTGATTTTTCTGTCAAGCATGTTGCGTTGATTATTGTCCAGAGCTTTGCAGTGCTCTTCTTCGTTTCTTAAGGCTCAGCCAAAATTTACAGAGAAAGATAACTATATATTGGATAAAAGTAGCTGTAGGTTACTGGCTGAGAGCCATCTTGCAAATCTATGGAATACATCCTGAAAATTCATGAAATCCATCCACCATTCCAGGAATTCCATCTTCAATTCCTGTAGATTAAACCAGGAAGTGTAATTCTGGAGCCCAGAGCCCAGCCTATATCCTGTACCATCCAAGAGAGTGAAATATGGGGCATTTGGGAGGCACCAATGTGATTTGGGAGTGACCTGGAGGGTGGGGGAGAATGGGAAGGCAGTAAAAAATGCGAAATATGAGAGTGTATGGGGAGTATCATCACCTACCCATGTCTGGACACCTTATAAAGTCAGGATAGGACCATAAAATGTTTTGGAAATGGGAGGAGAATGGGATGGCAGAGAAAAATGCGAAATAGGAGAGAGCATGAGAGGTATCATCACCTACCCATGTCTGGACACCTTAGAAAGTCAGAATAGAACACATTGAGCGCACTCTGATGGGCACATTCTGATGGGTGCACTCTGATGGGCGCACTCTGATGGGTGCACTCTGACATTTGGTGCACATTCCCATTGGGTACTCTCCAAATACATACTAAAAAACAACAAGTGCAGATGCACACTTGTTGCAGGTATATACTGACTTGGCACCCACTCGCATTTGGTGCACCTTCACATTGCTCATATTTCATTTGGTGCACATTCACATTGGGCACACTCTGACATTTCGTGTGCATTCACATTGGGCACACTCTGATATTATGTGGAGTGCAAAAGAATTGCGCCTCTCATGGAGCTTGAAATAATTGCACCTCTAGAGCGCAAAATAATTGCGCCCCCATAGAGCGCAAGTAATTGCACCCTGGAGCACAAATAATTGTGCCCTGGACTGCAAAAGAATTGCGCCCCCCATGGAGCGCAAAAGAATTGCGCCTCTCATGGAGCTTGAAATAATTGCACCTCTAGAGCGCAAAAGAATTGCTCCCCCATAGAGCACAAGTAATTGCGCCCTGGAGCGCAAAAGAATTGCGCCTCTCATGGAGCTTGAAATAATTGCACCTCTAGAGCACAAAATAATTGCGCCCCATAGAGCACAAAATAATTGCACCCCATAGAGCGCAAAATAATTGCTCCCCCATAGAGTGCAAGTAATTGCGGCCTGGAGTGCAAAAGAATTGCGCCTTGTGCCCTCTGTAGAGCTCGAAATAATTGTGCTTCCCTGGAGCACAAAAGAATTGCTAGAGCACAAAATAATTGCGCCCCATAGAGTGCAAAATAATTGCTCCCCCATAGAGTGCAAGTAATTGCGCCCTGGAGCGCAAAAGAATTGCGCCTCGTGCCCTCTGTAGAGCTCGAAATAGTTGTGCTTCCCTGGAGCACAAAAGAATTGCACCCCTTGTGGAGCTTGAAATATTTGTGCCTCTACAGCACAAAATAATTGCACCCCCCATAGAGTGCAAATAATTGTGCCCCTTGTGGAGCTCAAAATAATTGTGCCTGTAGAGCGCAAAATAATTGCACAGGTTAGGACTCACCAATGAGACCAATGGGTGCAGTGCATCAGTGCCATAAATCCCTGCCAAAGTGGGCCAGGCATTTACTACAATTGGGGGGGCACATATTTTTTGTGCAAAATAAATGCCATAGGAACATAGTGACTTGGCGCCCACTCACATGCACATTCACATTGGGCATACTTGACATTTCATGCAAAAAGATAATGGGTGGAAATACAACTGGAAAATAACAGACACAGATGCATACTTAGTGCAGGTACAAGTGATTTGGCACCCACTCACATTTGGTGAACATTCACATTGGGTGCACTGACATTTTGTGTGCATTCACATTGAGCGCACTCTGACATCTGGTGCCCATTCACATTGGGCACACTCTGACAATTGGTGCCCATTCACATTGGGCACACTTTTCATGCATTCACATTGGGTACACTCTGATGGGCGCACTCTGACATTTGGTGCCCATTCACATTCCAACATTTCATGCATTCACATTGGGCGCACTCTGATATTTCATGCACATTCACATTGGGTGCACTCTGATGGGTGTACTCCGACAGTTGGTTCACATTTACATTGGGCACACTTTTCATGCATTCACATTGGGCACACTGACATTTTGTGCCCATTTACATTCCAACATTTCATACATTCACATTGGGTGCACTGATATTTTGTGCACATTCACATTGGGTGCACTCTGATGGGCACACTCTGGCATTTGGTTCACATTTACATTGGGCGCACTCTGACATTGGTGCCCATTCACATTGGGCGCACTCTGACCTTTGGTGCACATTCACATTGGGCACAGCACACTCTGAAACAATGCTGGATACAGACTATTTGTGACCCTATCAACAGCACAAGGTACATACAGTAGTACTTGAAAGAATTGTGTGCCCTGTGGAGCACAAAATAATTGCACCCCCTGTGGAGTGCAAAAGAATTGCATCCCTTATGGAGCTCAAAATAATTGTGCCCCCCATGGAATGCAAATAATTTCGCCCCTCATGGAGCTTGAGATAATTGCGCCCCCTGTAGTGCTTGGAATAATTGTGCCCCCATGGAGTGCAAAAGAATTGCGCCTCTTGTGGAGCTTGAAATAATTGCACCTCTAGAGCACAAATAATTGCATCCCCGTAGAGTGCAAATAATTGCACCCCTTGCAGAGCTCAAAATAATTTCACCTGTAGAGCGCAAAATAATAATGGCATTGGTGCAAAGTGTGGGTTATTTTCAATAGGAGCCCCAATTATTGGCACACAACTGTGAATCATTTTCAATAGGAGTGCCCATTATTGGCAGGCGCCCACCTGTTCGGCCCAGCCATCACTATGGATGATTTGTTGAGATGTTGGCCGAGTCCGCTGGCCCCATATAGTATGAAGCATTGTCAGGTTCGGTTGGTCCATTTGGTAAGGGCTAGGGTCACTGTCATATGTGGGCGTGTCGGATATCAATACTGAGATTATAGCCAGCGAAAACGGAAGATTTGTTCTACATGACAGTCAGGGCTTCGAGCATGGGGAGGGTGACAACTTCAAGAAAGTCGTTGATTTTTTGAAAGTTCGGAAGGACATGCCCAATGTGAGGGATCAGGTACATGCTGTCTGGTATGTTTACCACTCCTCAATCACTTGAGTGAACAAGATGATGAAGGTATTGTGCAGGCTTTGTTTCCCAGTGTCCTTGTCTAAAGGTGATCGTTTGTTCGAGGCTGGGGTGGAGGAGTTATTCCATATGAAGTCCAAAGGAGAACTTGGCCCTGGTAGGTTCTTGGTGTTTTCTGATCGACGATGGCTCACTGTTCACTTTAGTTCCTGTGATCACCGTTTTTACCAAATATGATAAGTTGGTAGAGCAGGTTGAATATGGTAACAATCTAGAGTTCCACAAACACAACAAATATCTGGATCGGGAAACCCGAAATGCACGTCTTGCTGAGGAGACAGGAGCAAAGTTTCAAGAATTGTGTGTTGGTCCCTTCGAAAAGGCCGTTGGTAAAGACATTCCGCACATCGCCGTCTCAAGTAAGTTACAAAGAGATGTATTGGGCTTGTGCTTATACTTGCCAACACAGCCAATGAAAAATACAAGGTTACCAGAAAGATGTTGAACGAGCTTGTCCGTCTCACTGCTGACTGTGTTAAAAACTCCCTGGCGGTCGATGTTGCTGAAGATGTTGCGCTGGTCACCGCCATCGCCCAACACGTGAATCCAGCTGTGAAGATTGATGCAGTGATTGCGTGAGCATTTAAATGTTTGTCTCTTTGATGTCATGCTGACACCTATTTCAAGAGTTGGGAGGAAGCGTATGGGTCTTCCAATGTGTCCCTCAGTGAAAGTCCAACTAATCTACCCTCTCTTTGTTAGGTTATTGGATGGGTCTTGCGGCTAGCATGAATTTTCCGGGCAACACCATAGAAGAATGTCTACAGGTTCTACATACTGATATTGTTCAAGTGTGGAACATTCAGGATGATTGCGGGGTAAATATTTCAACATCACTCCCTCTTCTCACTTATGGTTATGGCTGTTAGTATCTGGAAAGCAAGGAACTGAAAAAGCTAATGATTGAACTTGTTGGGAATCAATATGACGAGCTGTCAGATCCCAACACAATATTGTAAGTCAATTTTGTTGACTGTGCCACCTTTTTTTTTTTTACAAGTTGTCAGTCCCCATGCTTATTCGCTGCTTGGTGCCTTGACTACGTTAATTAGGGGTTTAACTGCACCTGCTGCTCCCATTGTGATTCCTATTGTTGCGGGTCTCTTGCTGGCAAAATGGATTTTCGATGTGTACAAGCAATCATATGTCTTCCTTATTATGCCATGTTAAAACACTAAGTGAGAAAACCTTAGGGCACTCATGCTACAACGTTTAATGGCATACATCATTGACTTCACAATTATTATGCAAATAATTTTTGGCCTCCTGGTGAATGCCCGTCTGCGCCTTTCCCGCCGCTTGATCAAGCTCGTCTTTAAGGCCTACAGCATTTCAGATGAAAGGAGCAAAGTTCACAGGGAGATTAAGGAATATGTGAAGCTGGCAGGCCGCTTTGACCGGGATGCAACTCTGGCGAAGATCATCCAATTGATCAAGGAGTATCAGATGAAACCCGAGAGTATGGAGGAGCTACAAAGTGCAGTTAAGGCCTTCGAGAACAATGAGGACGAGGATTGGGGCATAGGCAAAGCATGACTTAATGATTTGATTCCCTGTCTACGATGTTGTCTGTATACATGTGCCATAATCCGAACAAAAATGATCATGAACCGCGAAGTTGATGTATCAAATAAAAAATACAAGTGCGCCACTAATTTGAACGAAGAGAAGCCCGTAGAATGACTTTGTATAGGACCAAGAGCTGGTGTGATGGTTAAATGGAGGATATACGTGAAAGGAACACAGCTTCCTTCTACTAATGCAGGCTGCTTCAGCTTGTACAATGCCCTTTCCGGAGTTTCCCTCATGTAGCTCTCAACCAAAAACGTTTCCCTTCTGAATGCGCCAGATGACATGGTTGAAGAGCCCTTGAAGTCCCTAGCAGTCTGCTGATTCGTGTTACAACCGAGTGAGTAAAACATCGTAGTCGAAAGACAAGTATTGACTGTAGATGACGAGGTATTCGATAAGTTCATCGACCGCTCTGTGCAAGTGAGCTCTCATGCTGCGCACCCACAAACGAGAATGATTGCGACCTTACAATCTGAATTTGAGCGGAAAACGCTGTACGTGATCACACAGCGATTGTAGGGCCGATCTGTGCAGGAAGGGTTTATGGAAATGCGACACGGGCATAGACTACGTACCAACTGTGACTCTCCAATCCAATTCAGTCCTAAATGCGAAGGTTTTGTAGGGGTCCAGATGTTATACCAATCAGAAGATTTTGTAGCTGGTGGGGTGGTGCATTAAAATCGACCTTCCATTTTGTTGTTCTCCGTTGCCCTAATAGAAACCCCAACTTGATAAGTATACATAGTTCGTCCATCACACTCGACCCACGTAACCGCACAGACCAGCTTCTTCCGTTTTGCGCTAAGTAGCACCACACATCTACGTAGTGCTGGGCAATGGATTTGAAGCAGGCGGTGAGAAACCCTTGGATAAAATTGGGTCAATCTTGAGCAGTGAGGAGCGCTTCCCTGGGAACTGATTGATAAATCAGATATGAAGAGCTCCCGTCGATGAGGGCTTACCATCTCAGCACATTGAACTGCCTGGACCATTGGGTGTCGTGACTGTCGTTGTAATGTTGAGTCTGTTGTTGGTAAGCATTCAGACAAGCGAGAACGGATATAACAGACCCACCTCGACTTGAAGCTTGAAACGTTGATGTCCTGCTTGTAATCTATGACAGCGATGAGATGCACGAGTTTGCCCCCTGTCATTGGACACGTCATTTTGGTGAATCACGTAGGCCCTTACATATGACGAGCCCACAATCTGAGTCGATCATGAGCGTCGAATTGTAGAACCCTTCTGCGGTCAAGATTTGTCGCGACTGATTATCAGGGAGTGTGTGAGAGTTGACGTGGGGGACAATTCTCTTTATATGTAGAATGATCAGCTTCGTACGAGGTGAAAGCTCGAGAATAACTCACAAGCAGTGTGTATGGAGTGAAGGTACTATTTGTATCAGTGCCAAGCCCTAACATGTAACAAGTTGCAGCCAGGGGAAAACCTGTCATTCGCGTATACTATTGGTTCTACACTGGGCAGCATCCTACTATTTCTGTTGTGTCTTGGGATACAGGAAAGGGTGTTCATTTTGAACCTGGCACCCAGAAACATTGTCACCCTAGAGAAATTTTATATCGTCCTAGGCAACCGATGACACCGAAGAGTGCTTTGCTGGCGGCCTCGATGTTGGCGAGACGCACAACTTCAATTTTCGATTCATAATTAGATCAAGCAACTTCCGTAAAAACCATAAAACCTTACAGGCGCCCACCACTTTCACACCTGCCATTCGAACCGATGGCCAACTTTTGTGAGGGAAGGGTATGTCGCGCCCAGTGGAGATGGTGGTGACCGCCACAATGTCCTTAATGGTAAGAACAGTCAGCTTCAGAAAGGGCACGAAGCACAAGAAACGACTCACCGTGAAGGGCGCAAGGTCGAAATCTCTGCACACTCGGGGGCGGGGAAGGAACGAGCTACCTAAGTGCCTTCATAAGATGCTTTAGACAGTGGCAGTTTTGGCGCTGACCGCTACTCCCGCGAAGGCGGGTGTTTAGAGGGAGGGAGTGTCGCAACCCAGCGAACTTCCAGCATCCGCTTATTGGTGCAAAATTTCTGACTGGGCGAGGCACCAGACTCGATGATAGAGCAGCATGATGGCTTAGAGTTACAGTAAGCAGTCTAGGCCATGACTCTACCAATGGTTGATGGGGACTCACTGGAGTCCTGACTGGAGCCCCGAGCTATGCCCAGTTCGGTACAAAATATTATCTGAGTGATGACCTTTTAATAAGACAGAAAAAACATGGATGCGAGTAAAGGACATACGTTAAACGGATTGATCTCCGACTTCACGCCTCTTCAGGCAGATGGTGGCAAACTTGGCCTCATGCATTGTTCTTTAGGCCGGTCGACTGAAGCGAAAGAACAGTCGCTAACCACATACGACCGACAAAGCCTGAATGGCGTACTGAAACCTACTGAGGTGCGAATATCAATTTGAAAAGTCGTTGTTTCCACCGAAATCGTTGGTACAAACCTGTTGATTTTCCGCAAGCGCGCTGACACCTCATACAAGCCAATCCAAATAAGAAGCTGCGGAAGAGACCCTCACCGACGAGGCCCGGGACGTAGTGGCAGTACAGGTCGTGTTGAAAGATGGTGGAGAGGTAGATGGAGCCGGTGGTGGCTGCTGTGTGGGCGTAGTCTGCCATGCTGGTTTCTATTTTTCAGAATTCAAAGTTGAACTCGATCAAGTGGGGGTCGAAGACAAACTCCGAGTCGACAAGACCACGCCACGGTAGCAGGAGTGAATGGCGCCCTTGAAGATGAAGTCGACGTTGAAGAATCCCAAGAACAACAATACCCATGACATGCACGATATACTCCTGCAACGACGAACATGCTCCGCATAAGCATCCGTCCTTCTGGTTAGCGTCCGCTGTCTGAGATTGGACCTGAGGAGCACAACGAAACGGTGAATCTCAATTCCGAGGGATTGTGTGCGCATTGTGTGGAGTAGAGGTTGTGTCTCAAGTCCAACCTTTTTGGATCTCAAACTTCCTCTCATGTCATTCGGGCCCATGGAAATCCCTCCTCTCTGGAAACCTGAAATCAAGCACAACACCTTCAGCCGCGCTCCACCCAGCATCGAACACGTCGATTCTAACAGTGGATGAAGGACTTCGCGTGGCGATCACGTGGAAATGACAAGGCAGAGTTTATGTTGTCCGAGGCGTAGAAGTTTGAATGAGGGTAGGGATGAAGGGTTGATAGAATTTGAAGTGGGGGGAGAGGCAGCTGAGGTCCAAGACGAAGGATTCGAAGTGGAATGGGGGAGTGAGGCGGAAGGGAGACTTTGGAGGTTCCATCTGAAGGCTCTGCACCCAGGGATGCTGGTAAGGTCGGCCATGTAAGCTCAAACAGCAGGATTAGGATCTGAAGCTTGAAGGGGCGAGGGAGGGCGAAGGAGGGTCGAAGCCATGCGATTATGGTGGGTTTATGTGAGGGGTGTCGGATAGTGCTTCAACGAGTTCTGGTTTACACCGATGTACTGGTCGTGTACGAGCACTCATGTGTGTTTCTAGAGTGGTGGCCTGTGAGTAGGCCTTGAGCGGGACTTGATCATCACGCGCATCTGAGGATGGCCATTTTATATTGTAAGAAAGAAGCTCAAAATTCGAGAGACGTAAGTACCTTTGTGTCAAAGTTCTAAGTATGTTTGTAGTTGCCACTGTTGGACGAGGAGTGGATTGATGAGGAACAAGTCACGAGTGCCATATTGTGCGTGATTGGGTCTGTCATCGAGATTTCGGTGAGGTTCAACCGCCTCTACTTCGGCACCATGCAGCTGTTCGAGGAGGTTCTCTACAGAACGATTGGGGTTATCATTGTCAACCACAGCTCTCAGGCTCCCTCAATCCAACCTCCATGCAAGCTCTCCAAGTAAGCCCACAGCCACATTGTTCATCTCCACCATCCTAATCATAAGTATCAACCAGTCCAGCCTATTCGCCGTGCGAGAGTACCTAAGCCCAGTGAGCCTTATTATCCGTGATCTGGGCATCATCTCACTGTCAAGCCCATCTATTAGGTTCTCAAAGAGAGCAAATTCAAAGAACACGGCCGTATTACGCCCGGTACGTTTCACGATCGTCCATCTCGTTCCTTTTTGCTCACCGTGAAATGAACAACAGAGGAATTCGTCGCTGCAGGTGACTTTTTGGTGTACAAGTTTCCTGTATGGACATGGTAAGCCCCTTCTTCCTCCATTCTTTCCTTCCTCCTCCTTTCTACGCGAAGATTGAGTGACTTGTAAACAGGGAAAAAGGAGACGCCTCCAAATCCCGAGACTTCCTCCCATCCGAGAAACAATACCTAGTAACGCATGGCGTCCCCTGCCTCCGGCGCGCCACCTCCCTAGCCTACACAGACGCAGACGAGGACGCCAAGCGTCTCCTCTCCTTCGCTGATTCCTCTTCGCCCTCCGCAGACGGCGACGAGTGGGTCGAGACGCATGCGGGTCGGCAGGCGCATCAAACGGACTCTGTGACGAACGTGGGTGAGATTGCTGATATCCCTGATTTGGATGGGGATGGGCCCCATGAGGATGAGGAGAGGATTTCGAGGGGCTTGGGGGGCGTGTCGTTGGGCGGGGGAGGGGGTGAGGGCGTTGGGCCGGAGACACCTGATTTGGATGATATCCCTGATATGGAGGAGGATGATTTGGAGGAGGGGGATGATGAGGCTACGGCTGCAGCTGCGCCCAAGGCGTCCGCTATACCTGCTGCTGCTGGGGTGGTTGATGCAAGGTACGTTGTTGGGTTTGCTGGAATTTGAAGTGCGCTGATGATCTCTTTGTAGTGCCAATGTGGAAGTCGCAAAGGGCAATCTTCTTCAAGTCCGCACGTACGACGTAATGATCACATACGACAAGTATTACCAGACCCCACGTGTTTGGCTGATCGGCTACGATGAGGTTTGCCTTTACCTTCTTCCCTTTTTTCTACACTAGCTAATCGAAACAACAGAACCGCACCCCACTGACCCCCTCCCAAATCTTCCAAGACATCTCAGCAGACCATGCCCAGAAAACAGTAACGATCGAACCATTCATCCACTCTGCCTCTCTCCAAGCTGCCTCCGTGCATCCATGCAAACATGCCAGCGTCATGAAGAAAGTGATAGAACGGATGAACAACAGTGTTGTTGAGGAACAGCTGGCGCAGCGCGGTAAATCCTCTTCTTCCTTGGGCAAGGACACCCCAAAGAAAGAGAAGAAATGGCTGTTCAGCCGAAAGTCGTCTGGGAGTGCCAAGGACGTTCAACAGCTGCAAGCTGGGGCTGAGGAAGAGGAGGTGGAGGGGATGAGGGTCGATTTTTATCTGGTTGTTTTCCTCAAGTTTATTGCGAGCATCGTGCCGACTATTGAGGTTGACTCAACTACGTCCTTTTGAGTTTGATGCCACTCTCCCTTCATCTGTACCTCCCCAGTCCTCCCTCATTGCTAGCCATCGTTTCTTGTACCTGTATTTTTTTTACCACTGTTGGTACTTAGAGCCCCTCTTTCTTTGTGAATACGTTGGAATGTGGAATATGTATCAGTATCTTTCATGTTTTTCTGACAGACTTTAGAGAATACATAAATCATGTATCATCTCACCCCCCTCTAACAACTCTTTGAACTCCCATACACATACACTGTGAAGACAACTCAAGGGCACCCTCAAGCCGTGGAAGCTTGAGAACATGAAAAGCTTGTGGACTTTTGAAAAAATTACCATCCTTAACTTTCTTTTGCTCAAATGAGACTATCTATTTTTTTGGGAACAACAAGGCAAAAGGTGCATCATAATGGGTGGTAACTAGAGACATGTGCTGCATTTATGAAATTCTGGGAAGGTGGGCTAAAACTTTTATAAAGCTAAAATCAAATAAATGAGAAGATCTTGGAAGACTTGCAATATTGATACTCACGAAGACGATTGTCCATAGCAATCTTTACAAGGGCCTGTTTCTTTTGGTTCTCAGTTTTAAGCTGAGAGGCCTCCTTGATGGCAGTTTTAATTTTTGCCACATCAGCAGACAAGTTGAACTTTTGAATGGCTGATTCAAAGGGCGCAGTGGACTTTGAAGGTTTCTGTTTCCACAGAAAAAAAGAGTGCTCTGCAATGATAGTAGTCACTGAGCAGTAAAATAGTAGTTATGATAGAGTGGTCATAAATGAGAGTAGACACACCAATACATAGAAAGGCAATGTCCTTGAAGGATTTGGTATTGTGAATCTGGATAGAATTATGTGGTGGTCAGAATAATGAATAGCATTTACACAGTGAAGCTAGTGAAGGTTTACCAAGGACCAGTCTGTAAGATCAAGGACATCCTTTGCCTAAAAATAGTAATTAGTTCAGTCAATACTACTGGTTTTTATAAAAAATATTGGAAGAAACAATAAAATACTGACTGTCTATTTGAACAAGTGGAGTTTCATAAGTGTTTTTCTAAAATTGTAGAACTGAACTCACAATCTCATCATTTCTTAGCAAAATGAAAAGAGAAGAAAGCTGAGACCTACCTTCTATTTAAAACACAGGCCACCCTCTTATCAACAACAAGTAGAGAAGAACAGTTGGATGGTGACTTACATGCTGTTCAAAACCCATAGCATGCTCTGGTCAGCAACAAGCAGGAAGGGCCAGCCAGATCCTGACTTACATGCCATTTAAAACCCAGACCATGCTCTTATCAGCAACAAGCAAGAAGGGCCAGCCAGATCCTGACTTACTTGCTGTTTAAAACCCAGAGCATGCTCTTGTCAGCAACAAGCAGGAAGGGCCAGCCAGATCCTGACTTACAGCGCTGTTCAAAACCCAGAGCATGCTCTTGTCAGCAACAAGCAGGAAGGGCCAGCCAGATCCTGACTTACTTGCTGTTCAAAACCCAGAGCATGCTCTTGTCAGCAACAAGCAGGAAGGGCCAGCCAGATCCTGACTTACATCCTGTTCAAAACCCAGAGCATGCTCTTGTCAGCAACATGCAGGAAGGGCCAGCCAGATCCTGACTTACAGCCTGTTCAAAACCCAGAGCATGCTCTTGTCAGCAACAAGCAACAAGCAGGAAGGGCCAGTCAGATCCTGACTTACTCGCTGTTCAAAACCCAGAGCATGCTCTTGTCAGCAACAAGCAGGAAGGGCCAGCCAGATCCTGACTTACATCCTGTTCAAAACCCAGAGCATGCTCTTGTCAGCAACATGCAGGAAGGGCCAGCCAGATCCTGACTTACATCCTGTTCAAAACCCAGAGCATGCTCTTGTCAGCAACAAGCAGGAAGGGCCAGCCAGATCCTGACTTACACGCTGTTCAAAACCCAGAGCATGCTCTTGTCAGCAACAAGCAGGAAGGGCCAGCCAGATCCTGACTACAGCC